TTACTGTTTGCCCATGTCCTGATATGATTTGGGAAAAACAACCAACAAAGTTTTCAAACATTAAAAATAAAAATAATCTCAGTGATGGTCTAAGCCTTCTGTTATTCCCCCTCCCCTTTTTTTAAAGATGAACTAACTGAGCCCAGGTTGTTGGTGGCATGATTTGCCCAAGGTCAGGCATAGATAAAAGCAGAATGTGGATAAGAATCTAAGTTTCCAAGATGCTGAGTAATCAAAAAAGAATTGACATTCAATCTTTTACGTTATACCAAGCATAATTCTAAGTGTTTCGTATACACTATTTTATTTACTCATAAAAAAATTATCTCAAGTGGGTGTGATTACCCCCACTTTACAAATGCTAATGCTGAGGCTCAGAGGGGTAAAGGTCACTTGACCTGCGTGGCTCACCTTGTGAGTAGAGGTGTCAGGATCGAAACCCACAACCCTTAGATAAAACTACAGAATTATATTAGTAGTGTGCTAGCAAATTTTTAACAACAGGATCTCCAGGGAAAAATGCCCTGATTTGTGGCATATGCCAATTTTTGTGGTGTAAAGACTTCTTCCTCCCATGGCTAATTTCAAGCAACCAACATGACATCACTGAACACAGAACTGAGAAGTGATGCTCACATTCAGCTTTCATGAGCCAGTATGAAGCAGCTCCAGCACACCATCGGATATGCCCCGCGGTCCTAAAGTCCATGGCTCAAGGAGGAGAACAGCTAAGATGTTCCTGGGGAACTGGTAAGATTGGACTAAGCAAGGACATATGTAAGAACCAAGGCTCTTCAGTTTGAAACTAAGATAAATAACTGCCGCTTCTTTAAAACCATCAGCACTGTGGCTAAGAAGAACACAGATGTGATCAATAAATCCCCAAATACCATTTGGGCGTAGAGCCAGAGCAATTAATAGGAGAAATGACATCATGCAAGATAATCAGCTTATGACATTCAAATTCCAAGACTTCATATGGATCCCAAACACCTATGAATTCTACAAATAGTGGGACCAACTTCTAAAAGAAGATGGAATATTGCCAGCCTAGTAGATTCACGTTCAGCCTCAACCTCCCAAGACGAACTCCTGGCTGTAGGCAAAGGACTTCTGGGCCCTATAGCCTTCAAGTAGCACTTGGCCTGCCCAAGCCCTGCTCTTGTTCACCTACGTGTAAAATTCTCTGTATTAAATTCTCACACAGTGAGTTTTGATGATGGTCTCCAACCCCAGGGATGAGCAAACGTGAAAGAATTATTATGGGACATGTCTGTAAATCTGAAACATACAAGGGCTGTCTGGAAAGTATCCAGCCATTGTTAATATAACGAGAACAGTTGCATTGCTGGATGCTTTCTGGGCAGCCCTTGTATATCAATGACTATGAGAGGAAGTCCTGGGACCTAGGTAATTAAAGAAACAATCACCACATATGGCATTTACTATGAGCCGGGTATGTTCTAATCACTTAAGTATTAACTAATGTAATCCTTATAACAACTCTGTGAAGAGGATGCCATTTGACAGAGAGGCTTCCCATTTACATATGAGCAAACTAAGGCACAGAACAGTTAGGGAACTTACTCAAGATCACACAACTATTAAGTAGCAGAGCTGAGATTTGAGCTCAGGCAGTCTGGCTCCAGAGTCTGCAAACAGGCCCTTACCAAGCAGTAGCTCCTTACTAGTAAGATGGGAGGCTACTGGATTTATCCACCAAAACTTTCAAATTTGCCTAAAACACCATCACTGGCATCACTATCATTTAAGGTAGAGGAGGGAACGTCATGGTATAAAAATTACTTGGGTTAGAAGCGGTCAACATAATAGAAATTCTTAGTGGCCAACAGAACCCTGTCTTATAAAGCAAACTAATTAGATAAATTTGGAAAACATCAGTGTGACCTCATACTCTTAAAAAGACACATATTTTCCCACAATTCTGTCACTATTATAATTGGCCTGATATGTTAAATAGCTTGAATTAGTTAGCCATTCCACAATATATACATATATCAAAACATCATGTTGTACACCATAAATATATATAATTTTTACTTGTCAATTAAAAAGAAAAAGTTGGCCTAACAGTAGGCATAGTACTTTTGTCCACTACCCATTCTCATGCTCAGAGATAGGGTCTTCAATATAGTTCTCCACTAAAATGAACATGTGCTCCTTGGAGACAAGCCAATTCCATAACTTGGAATAAGACAAAAACCAAGATAGTTCTAAAACACCTTGTTATTGCCAAATATCAAGATGACTTCAAGAGCATCAGGAGCCCTGTTACATGGCAAAGAAGTTCACATATGTCAACTTTCCCTGGCTAAGCTGTGACAATTTGAGAATCAAAAAAAAAGAAGAAGAAGAAGAGGAGGTAGAGAAGGAAATAATTATTATGATTATGGAAACAAGTTGAATCTGAGAAATGCCTTTTGTTCATAATGTCACTCTGAGGGAAAATTGACATAAAGTGTACAAAAAAATAGTTTTAATAGAAAAGAAAGGTGACTACAATAGGATACATTTTTATTGATTTTTTTAAACTAAGAAGCATTAATATATAAGGGTATGTAGTTTATTTTATAGAGTATTAATTACATGTCTGTTTATAAAATTTCTGTGTTAAGCTGGAAAGAATAACAAAAGGAAATATAAGTCTCTGCAGGATTTCAAGGCCCAGAGAAGGACTACTTGGCATCGGTAGTCATAAAAGCACCAGGCGGAAAAAGGGGCAGCAATTCATCAGCAATAGTGGTCATAAGCAATTAGCAAGGAACGGCAATCAGCAGAGTGTGTGTAAGATGATGAACTACACACACAGCCAAAGAGGAAAACCAAGTATTCGAACTTAATCTTTCATCTCCTAGGAGATAAAATCTCTACATGGCCCAACTAAGTATTTTAAGATATCAATAAAGAATGCATAAGTTTTTAATGGTGCTACAGACCAGGTCAATATATCACAACTCTGGGGCCAGTTCCACAGCAGCCCCCAGAGGTCCCCAGAGCAAGAGAGCCTCAGCTCCCACAGCGGTGACTTCCTCGATAAGGCACCACTCTTGGCTTTCTTCCCTTCCCTGCCGAATCTTCCCACTCCCCTATTGGCGCTTCCTGAGATCACCTCCTGTCTGGACTCATAGCCACATCTCAGGTCCTAAGATGAGAGATGAGCTTGATACGTCAAGCATTAAACAAAGCACGAACACTTATAAGGCTTCTCTCCACACACAGTATTCCTCTGGACATTTAACCATCCCAGCAGGAGAGCCTGCTTGAGCAGCACGGAGCGGGGGTGAAGGGAACTGTCTGGGGGACCTTCCGCCTTTCCTGTTGCCATCTCTTTCCTCTCTCCTGGAACTACCCTCTCTCTGGACACCAGGACTTCCACCAGGACACTCATTTTCTGCCTCTCACTGGGAAAGGTATGATTCCTCCCACGGGGAGCTGCAATTTCAGATGGAAGTCTCAGCAATAGAAATGTTCATTCATAAGGCTGGCGCTGGGCAGTGGCCATGGAGGAGATGACAGGAGTGGGGATGGGGAAAATACCCATTTGCTAGCTTCAAGAGACTGAGACTTTTGGGCCTTGAATGTGGTACCAGGTTCCTACGGGCCATGAGGGACTTCCAGTTGTGATATCGTATGTAGCCCCCAAAACAGGGTACATGGAGACCCAGCTTGCCACCCCTGCAAACATGGTGGCGAACAGCTCAGGCTCTGGATTCAGGCTTCCCCATCTCTACTCTAACCTTGGGCAGCTTCCCAGCATCCCGGAACTTCAGCTTTCCCAAGTATAAAATGGGGGAAATAGAATCTAACCCAGAAGGCTTCCCTTTTAATAAAGAGAGAACAAGAAGTTAAAAATTATCGAGTGCATGGCACATGCCAGGCACCCTCTACGCATTCTCATTTCATTGTCACACACACATGGGTGCAGTTAGGATCCCCATTTTATAATTATAAGAAACTTCCCCTGCGTCACCCAACTAACAAGAAGCAGATGCAGGTTTAAACTTGGGTAAGTCTGATTCCGTGCTTAACTGCTATGTTACACAGAGCATATGGACAGTAACTAACAGTGCCCAACACACACTGGGTGCTTAATAAAGTCATTTCTTCCCTTCCTCCTTACTTCATCATTGTCTCCCGGGCTGTCTCGCCAGGGAAGGACTGTAATGAGGAAGACAGACAAGGACAGGTGCTTGGCAAACCAGCTTTTCATGGAGTCTCAAAAGGAAAAGGCTCACTGCCAAGCTCTTAATAAGGAGATTTTAGAGCAGATAGATTTTGGCTTCTCCTTCTATTAATACCTAACCTCTTAGAGCTCTTCCAACACCATAATTTCCTTCTCTGGAACCTACACAAAAAGTGCAAATGACTTTCAAAAAGCCATAAAGTCAAGAATACTTAGCATCATAAAGTTTCGGGTAAAATTAAGTCCCCCCCTAAAACACGTCCACCCAATGGAATAGAAGAGCACTGCATTAGGAGTCTGTCTTCCAGCCTGGCTCTGGCATGGACTAAGCTGGGGGGCCTTGAGCAAAACCACCTGTCTTCTTTGTGCCTCTGTTTTTTCATTTGTTAATGCAGAGATGACTATTTGTTAATACAGAGACGACAATCTTTGTCTTGCCTGTTTCCAAGTTGTTGAGAGAATCGTGAGGAATGTATGTGAAAAATACTTCACAAGTGATAAAGCACTACACAAATGTGGGAAATTATCAGTATTAATCAACAGCTTATGAGTCTTGCTTGAACAAGAAAAACTAGAGCCAGAACGCAGAGGTGAGCAGCAAGCTGGAATGAGGAGAGTCTGGGGCTAAAGGAAAACCAGCCGTCAGAACGTCATTTGCAGGGCTGGCAGTTAACTTTCGATCAATTTTATAAGGCCAGGAAATAGCCATATTTTTAATTAAGTGTCAGTGCTAGGCTTAGCAACATAAAACTGAATGGTAGAGGAGACATCAATTTAAAAAAACCCAGCTTCTTACCTCTCCTTCTAAGAAAGATATCTTTTCTAGAAGCTGCAATATTAAAAGCTGTTTCTGTTGCAACTTTTTCTTTAATGATTCAATCTAGAAAAAAAAAAAACAGATCGAAAATTGTTAATCAGAAATATAGAACTGTATAAGTACACATTCCTCAACTGGAAGAGATGCCTTTGGGTTTCATTTAAACAGAACCTGCACACTGATTTTTAGTATTTCCCCTAACAGTATTAACATGAGATGCTCCCCCGTGAAAGGGAGATTATGTGAGCAGGTCAGATGCCAGGCATGATTTTGGAGTCATGGCTCATTAGGTTTCATTAACCCAACATTTCCACACTGATTTTGCTGTGGAGCCCTTAAAAACATCCCGCACACCCTCCACAGAACATGCTTTGGGACATGCAGATTCGACTTTCCAAAAAATTAATTATTCAGTTTGAATTTACAAGGCACCCTGTATTTCAAACATTCAACTCTGTTATTCCTGTTAATACGTTCATATTTGTTCAACCAAGTGTTAAAAATTTTGTTTTGGGAAAAGAATCACTAAAAGTGTCATTAAAAGTATTAATGAAATTTGGAGGATTAAGGACTCATGTGGCTTGGAGTAAGCAGGAAAGGCTTCCTAAACAGGCTTGAGCTGGGCTTTTATCTTTGTTCTTATAATATATTCTATCTTGGACTACTCTTTGTTTTTTATTCATATATCATGTCTCCCTAGACAAACCATAAGTTCCCTAAAAGCAGGAACCAGTGTACTCTGTATCAGGCCATGTCTTGGACAATACGGGGGAAACAGTACATAAGTTCAATAAATAATGCCCTAACTTTCCAACAATCTTGCATATTGAATTTGAGCATTTACAAAATCATTTAAAAAAATCCCTAGCAAGATCTAGAAAATCCCTAGCAACATCTAGAAAAGTACATACTCATTTATTCTTTGATTCAGCAATCCCATTTCTAGGAATGGATCCCACAGACACCCTGGTCAAAATAGGAAATGACTTGGACACAAGATTTTTGGTTTTTTAGAAAACACAAAACAAAGTAGAACTCCGTCAGTAATTGGCTAGTTAAATAAGCCACGGTACGTCCTAACAGGGGAGGTTGGTGTAACCTTCAAAAAAAAATGCAGAAGGTCTCTAAAACACTGACAGTGTATTATAAGGTATATATGGAATGCTAGCTTTGGTGTAAAACAGGTGGTGACATATGAATGCATATATATTTGCAAGAAGAAACACTGCAAAGATAAACCCAAATTACTAAGAAATAGTTACCAATAGGGAGAGGGAGGAACTTAGGTGGAGGAGACAGATGGAAGACAGACTTCTGATGATAACTTGCTACGTGGATTTAACTTTGAAAGCATATTTTATAGACTCAAAAAATAATATTAAACCAAAAAGAAAAAGAAGTGAACCCTAAAATTTGAAAACAAACTGAAATGAAGGAACTTAACCATATCAAATTGGAGGAAAGTACAATTCAAGTGTTGTTAGAATAAGGTATTTTGACTATTTTTAATGAAATATATTCTAAGGATAAAAACAGCTGCAAACAAATACTAGGAAAACAGTAATAATATTGCTATTGTTATTTTAAAACTATTTGGTCTGTATTGTAGTATAAATCATGTTTGGAACCAAGATTTTTATTGTAAGAGAAAGAAACACAAATTGAAAAAAGTAAAAGGAGGTTTGTTAAATTTGAAATGACAATATCAGTAGGAATTCATAATCTTTTATTTTCTTTTGCAAAATATGCATTCCTACTCTATTCACTGAGAAAACTTAGAAACAATAAGAACATAATATATCCAGATTGTGGTCCCTAAATAGCACTCCCCACTAGAAAAACACAGGACATCTTGAAGGAATGGCCCATTTTGGAAGGTACAAAATAAACTAGATCAACCTGAGATACCTTGTTACGCCTGAAAACAAGGATATGAAGGGTTTCCCTTTGGGCCAAGGATGGAAAATTTGAACATCAGGAAGAATAAAGGATGTAATTGAGAAAAACACATGGAATATATAAATATTAAGGAACATGAATATTTTATAATTCCATTGAACGCCATTAGAAGTGACAGCGGGCCAGGCATGGTGGTTCACACCTGTAATCCTATTAATAGCACTCTGGGAGGCTGAGGCAGGAGGATTGCTTAAGGTCAGGAGTTCGAGACCAGCCTGAGCAAGAGCAAGACCCCATCTCTACAAAAAATAGAAAAATCAGCCCGGCATGGTGGCACATGCCCGTACTCCCACCTACTCAGGAGGCTGAGGTAGGAGGATTGCTCGAGCCCAGGAGTTAGATGTTGCTGTGAGCTATAATGACACCAATGCACTGTAGCCCAGGCAACAGAATAAGACCCTGTCTTAAAAAAAAAAAAAATCAACAAAGGACCAACTTCTTACTTGGAAACTTAGGAATTTATAGGAAAAAACAAAGCACTTATCTTGCCTTACTTGTTCAAACTGCATTTTGAGATTCTAGAAGCCCTAGTTTATGATGAAAAGTTTTATTTTACAGAAAAATGCCAGTTAACCAATGGGGAAGGAATGATAAAATTAGAAAATAATAATTTTGCACTCTCTATGAAATAACTGCTTCAAGCAACCATCATCAGTAGATTTAACAGTGACAGTAAAAGCTGATGACAATCATGTTTTGGGTTGTCATCACCTAAATCCATTATCAGCCTTGGCATCACCCAAAGTGGGACAACCAGACATTATATGCCTCAGAAGTGAGACAAAATAAAGCACACAGCACCATCCATGAAATAATCCTGCCCCCATTCAACCTAATCAAGCTTTTGAGCTAATATTAATAAGAAGACAGAACGTCAAATCCGGAATGTGGGAATTTTTACAGGATGACTGACTCAGCTCCTACAATAAGTCACTGGGTAGGGGTTAAAGTGGGGGGTAGGGGGAAAGAACGGGGCAGCATGCTCTAGATTAAGAGAATTTTAGGAACATAACTAAATGTAAACATAATGTATGCTGATTGGAACAAAGCACTGATTGAAAAAAATGGAAAAACTGGAAAAAAATGCACTTTGAAAAATTTTATTGCAGATTGGTATTAAATGATTCTAAGGAATTATCATTAATTTTGTTAGAAAAAGTCCATATGTTTATAGAGATGCACCGTGAAGTATATAGGAAATACATGCGGAATGTCTGGGATTTGCTTTAAAATACTGCACAAAGAGGGGAAAAAAGAGGAAAGGAAGGGGTAGATAAAGCAAATGCGGCCAAAACTTGCTATTTGTTGAACCTGGGTAATGTCGGGGGCTATGTCAATTATTCTCTCTGTTCTGCATGCATTTGGCATTTTCAGTACAAAATACTTTAAATTCCACGTGGTGTCAAAAAACATAATCTTCTGGCACGAAAAGCAAACCATACAACATAGAATAGAAATGCACTTAAGAAAAAACATCCAGTGTTGATAATAATTAAAGAAATTACCAATTAAAAACAGTAATGAGTTACCCTTGAATACCTATTAAATTTGCCTAAAACTATTGACTGAAGAAACGAGCGTTGGCAGGGCCGAGGGGGCAGCTACTCTCATGTGTTGCAGGTGGCATTGTAAATTAGAATGACCCTTTAGGCAATTTGGCAATAAATATTAAGAGCCATAAAGCTGTTCATACCCTTTGACCCACTAATCCCACTCCTGGGAATTTATCCTAAGGATATAATTCAAACATAGGAAAAAAGCTATATATATATAAAGATATTCTTGCTCCCATTATTTATAATAGAGAGAAAAATGGAAATAACCTTAATGTCTAGCACTAAAGGAATGGGTAATAAATTATGAAATATCAATTTGATGGAGTATATTACACAAACACTAAAAACAAATACATTGCAAAATGGAAAAGTGTTTACAAAAAGCCTCGAGGGACAGAAAAACAAAAGTTTATAACGATGAAAGTAAAAGCTAGAAGAGAACTTAGATAAATGAAATACTTCTGGGGTTGCAGCAGGGACAGGGGCAAAAAAAAAAGGTTTGTTTTGTGTAAATTTCCTTCAATTTCTGTAGCAATAATTTTCAGAAATCATCTTCATAGTGTTCCGTTTTCATTCCTTTCCACAGTATTAAGATTTTAAAAATCTGACTTTTAAAATATTTAAATGATAGGCACAATGAGTACTGAAATTAAAAGGTTCCAAGAAGCTCAGGAATAATATTTAATCAAGTAACAAAAAGCCATTTAAAATACACTAGTTTCACTATCTCTGATGAAATCAGTGTGGTTTGTAAGTCAAGGAGAGCAAGAGATGTGGTTTTAAGAATAATACCCTAAGGAACAGCTCTAGGGAGACAGCAAGACTCTTCTGATCATCATCCCCTAGATTTTAGTTTAAAAGGCAAAGACATCATCTAGAGAAAGCCCTGTAGGGAGAAGACCCCAGGAAGTTCCTGGGAGAGAGAAGCGGGCCAATGCGAGGCTGAAGAGGCACGTCTGTCTGGGGAGCAGGAGCTGGCCAGGAGGAGGGTTTGGAGATGCTGACACTTCTAACGAGGCTTGTGATTTTCAGCAAATGATGCTTTAAGAAGCGACTGTGCTATTGTGCTAAATGAATGCTGCTCACGCACGTTTGCTTTCATCCTTGGGCATTTCTCACAGAAGCATCCTGTCCAGTATATTCTGTGACCAGGCTTGACTTGTTCAGATTAGAGAAAAAAAGATTGCTACGGCTGGCAAAGTCAGCACACGGCTGGCCCTGCACGCCCTCCAAGGGTACCAACCTTGCATCACAACTTAGTCTTCCCTGGCGTCTGCCCTGGAGCAGACCTCATGCCTTTCCCCAAGGGAGGCATCCTTCTAAAATAAGCACACTCACTTGCTTCCAGGTTTGACAGCCTTCTAGTAATAGCTGACTCCAAGTCCTTGGTTCTTTTTTCACAATCTTTAAATCACACACCTATATAGAAAATGGTATTATTTCTGACTACCAACTTCAAAGAGCCCTGAAATACTGTCTCTTATAGCACCTAGCACATGATAAGCACTCAAAAGTTAGCTACTGTTATGTGATTACTGGTATTTCTCC